GTTACTCATGGAGACATGTTATTAGTTCCTACAGGTATTTCGATTCCACCTGTTAGATAGAAGTTATGGCGACTCAGGTCAAGCTACAGACAGCATCACGAGAAATGAGCACTTGGGCGGCTGTCAGCTCCACATATCGAGCAACGCAGCAGCCGCTTCATGGCTCCTTTGCTGCAGGTAGAAGACTGTGTATGGAGCACGTCTAGCAGAGTTCTAGCCAAGGATTTTCATGTATTTTCGTGTACAAATGGTGTGAAGCTGAACGCAGCTAACGGCCACGAGTCAATACTACACCGGACTCTCGTTTCTCGACTTAAGCGCTGCCATCGTCGGAGTAGGAGGCACTCGTACTGTTGCAGGTACATTCGGCCACAGTGAGCACCACGTCCATGGAGGAGAGGCCGTTCTTGTAGACGGAGCAGAGGCTCGTGGGGCGGTTGAGGCAGTTGCGCGCCTGCTGGAACTCCCAGAAGTCGTTAAGCATGCACAGATCCGCGCACTTGGCCTTGCGCTCCTCAGGCTGCGAGTCCCACGGCGTGGACTTCATGTTGGCCATGCGGTAGAACATATCCTGCTTCTTGGCCAACGCCTCCTGGTGCACCACGCGCTCCTCAACGTGGTGCTCGCTCACAACCTTGCTTGAGCGGACTTTAACGTGGGATTCCTCATACGCGGAGGCCGAGGTGGCGAGCAGCAGAGCGAGAACAGCGGCGAAGATCTTCATACTTGATGCTGGTGGCGTATCTGGGAATGATATCCAGAATGTAGGAGGAACGATGATGCTATCTGATTTGACAGGATTTTTCAAAATGCACTGATAATCATTAACAAGAGTCAATACATAGAATAGATTTTGACACTTGTGTACTTGAAAAATAGTCATCATTTATACTTGAATATCTTGTCTATCTAACGTCTACTCGCTCTGCAGGCTGTGCGCCGAGATGGTCGTATTGAACACGTCGCCACTGTCCCAGCGCTGCATCTGGTTGCCTTGTAGCAGCTCGTCTCGCGCTATAGTCATGGCGCTTTCCGAGATGGCTTCAATTTCGCAGCTTCGACAAACCGTGACAAGACGTTGCTTGAGACGCTGGTCTGGCAGAAGGAACGTGAGTTGGTGTTGTCTCCTGCAGTCCAAACACATGTAGCGTGTGCAAATTTTGCAATGCCTCTTCTTCTGCAAGATCTTGGCGCCTTGGTTCGTTTTGCTCGCAGCCTGGACAAAAACCGATTGTTTCTTACCGCAACCAGAGCAGTACTTGTCGTCCAAAGAACCACTTGAGGAGCCATCAGTACATTCCGAGCTTGAAGAAGAGGTTTCGCCATTGTATCGTTGCCGTAGGGCCCACGCGAGCTTCTTCATGTGGCTACAGTACACGTCCTTCGCCACAGATAAAAGTATCCTAGCCGCTGATCGAATGACAATGGTACGCATGATGCCACCGGCCGGGTTAAAGAACCCCTTAATGTACACATCGGTGACGTTCGTGGTTCGTTGACGATACAAGATACTGATCGAGCTGTTACCTCGAAAATGCGTATCAAGCACCGGAGTCTCTGGGAATTGAACGGAATGTACAATGTGATATCCCACCCGCTCGCCATTTCGAAGACGTTCGATGCCGGTGGTTTCCATGTAGACGAAGTCTCGGTTCTTTACGACAGGACGCACTGCAAGTGGTACATGCACTTCCACCCACTTGATGGAGAGCGAGTTGAACGGGTTTTCCGGCGTCGGCGGCGCGAGCATTGCAAGCACACAACTCTTCGGGATATCGTCATGAATGTAGGACGTCTTGACCCGCATCTGCTCGGTCGTCGGACATACAACGCCATACATGACATCATCCAAGTCACCTACAACCGTTCCAGTGATCATGACAACCGGTAGATCCGCCACCGGCGTTTCCTGTTGATACGGGTGTGGAGATTCCACGGCGCGTGGCTGCTCCGAGTACGCTTTCAAGTCGTCTTTGGACGAGACGAACTTCCACTTTTCTTCGTCCACTTTGCCATGGTTGTCAATCAAGAAACTCTCGTACGCGCCGATGTTACGAGCCACCAGCTTGTGTGCAAGTCCCTCCAACTCCATAGTGGTCGTCGGGGACAAGTGCAACGGCGGGAACGGACTCGTGTATCGTTTGCTCACAGACGGATCCATCGCCACGCCAACGGAACCTGCAGACATGGTCGAGTCTGAACGCGTGGCCGCGAAAGGATCAGTGGAGACCATTGCGAGCGTTTGGAGCTCACGAAACCGGTGTCGGTGGTGCCAATGTGTTGTGGAGCGAGTTGCTCCCAGCTTGCGGGAGCGCCGCCACATGTACTGATCGAAGCTAGCCCAGGCCATGCGCCATACGTCAGCCAGTCCCATCCCATTCCTCGCCGGGCCACTTCGGATTTGAATGTATCGGCCGAGCCATTTTCCAAGTTCCAGCTCATAACGTCACTAGCATCGGGAAGATAGTCGGCCAAGCTCTCTTGAAGAGCGTGCGTGTCGAAAGCAAACAGGACTCGCATCAACTTGAGACGAGCTGCTGAATCCTTCGACATATTTAATCTGTCATCTTTTCTTTCCTAAAACTCTGCGAACTCTACCGTAATTTGGACTTACATGCTTGATCGGCACAGCTGACTGTATGGAAAAGACCAGACGGATGATACTGGCCCTCTCACGTAGGATGGTGTCAATCTGACTCAACTCGAAGCGTAATCCGTGTGGCTTTCCACTTCAACTATTGCACATTTCGTGCTCTAATAAATAACTCTACTGTTCTCGCTTCAATTCAGGTCGTCGAACAGGGAGATCTCAGTGCCGGAAGTGAACGCACACACCTCGTTCCAGCCGTACACGTCGTTAAAGAGCAATTCTTGGCTAGCTACAGTCACAGTTTTCGCGTTGAGAGCTTCCGTGTAGCACTTTGGACAGAACGCAACTTCCTGCTCCAACATCTTACGGTCTGCCATCATAAAGTGCAGCTTCTTGTGAATACGGCACCCTGAACAGACGTAGCGAGCGCATACGCCGCAGCAAAGATGGCGGTGCAACAGACGATGTGTACCAGAAGGTCTCTTCAAACACGTCACGCACACTACCGAGTCTGCTTGCCTTTCCATCATCGTAGGACAGCGTTGTCGGATACTCCATGCCAGTTTCTTCATCTGCGCGCAGTGAACATTCTTGGACACGGACAGCAGTGCCTTGGCAGCTGAACGGGTGATGATAGAGCGCGTCAAGCCGCCTGCTGGGTTTAAGAACCCTTTGATAAATACGTCCACGACGTTGCTATCGCGCTGGCGATAGATGGCGCTCATTGACATGTTCCCACGGATAGCCGAGCCGCGCGCAGGCGTCTCGGGGAACTGCACCGAGTGCACGAGCTGATACCCGACACGTTCGCCGTTGCGAAGGTACCGGGTGCCGGTAGATTCCATGTACACGAAGTCGCGGTTCTTGATCACTGCGCGGACGTGAAAAGGTTGACCCTTCTCGACCCATTTGATGCTCA